CCCTGTATATTGTCAGACCACAGTGCAATGAAATTGGAGATCAATAGCAAAAGAAACTGCAAGAATTTCATAAACACATGGAAACTGCACAACACACTGCTGAATAACCAGTGGGTCACAAAGGAAATTAAAAGAAGAAATCAGACAGGCCCTACAATTAAATGACAATGACAGTACAACATATCGCAATCTATAAGACACAATGAAAGCAGTCTTTTGAGGGAAATTCATAGCAGTGAATACTCACATTAGGAAAACAGAGCGAGCTCAATTACACAACTTGATGCTGAACCTCAAGCTTCTAGAAAAAGAAGAGCAAGACAAACCCAAAACCCATAGAAGGAAGGAAATTATAAAGATCAGGGAAGAAATCAATGCAATGGAGACCTAGAGAACAATACAAAAAAATCAATGAAGCCAAGAGTTGGTTCTTTGAAAGAATCAACAAAATTGACAAACCCTTAGCCAACCTTATCAGAAAAAGGAAAGAAAAGGCCCAAATCCATGCAATTAGGAATGAAAAGGGTGAAATTACAATGGACCCAGCAGAAATCCAGAGGATCATCAATACCTACTTCGAGAACCTATATGCCAATAAGATGGAAAACACAGAAGAAATGGACAGATTCCTAGATACTTGTGAATTATCAAAGTTGAACAAAGGTGACCTTAAAAATTCTGAACAACCCAATATCAATCAATGAAATTGAAAATGTAATTAAAAACTTACCAACTAAGAAAAGCCCAGATGGGCTTCACTGCTGATGGCTTCACTGCTGAATTCTACAAGACATTTAGAGAGGAACTACTGCCACTACTGTTTAAACTCGTCAGTGAAATCCAAAGGGAATACTCCCAAATTCATTCCTGGAAGCAAGCATCACCTTGATCCCCAAAGCAGACAAAGATCCAACCAAAAAAGAGAACCTATAGGCCATTCTCACTAATGAACATAGATGTAAAAATCCTTAATAAGATACTGGCAAATAGGAGACAGAAGATCATACACCCTGACCAAGTGGGATTCATCCCAAGGATGCAGGGATGGTTCAACATATGCAAATCAATAAATGTAGTACACTACATTAATAGAGCCAAGGACAAAAACCATATGATCATCTCAATAGATGGAGAAAAATATTTGACAAAATCCAACACACATTTATGATAAAAACTCTACAAAAAATTAGAATAGATGGTCTCTACCTCAATCTGATAAAAGCCATCTATGAAAAGCCAACACCCGGTATCATACTAAATGGTCAAAAGCTGAAATCTTTCACACTAAAATCAGGAACAAGACAAGAATGTCCACTGTCACCACTCCTATTCAATATAGGTCTGGAAATATTAGCCACAGCAATTAGACAAGAGAAAGAAGTACAAGGAAAAAAGATAGGAAATGAAGTCAAATAGTATTTGCAGATGACATGATACTCTACATAGAAGACTCTACGAACTCCACCAAAAGTCTTCTAGACTTAATAACCAAATTCAGTAAAGTAGCTGGATACAAGGTCAACACAAAAATCAATAGCTTTTCTGTACACAAAAAACAGACTCACTGAGAGAGAAATGGGGCAATCCATGCCTTTCACAATAGCATCCAAAAAATTGAAATTCCTGGGAATCAGCCTAATAAAAGAAATCAAAGACCTCTACTCTGAAAACTATAGCACTCTGAAAAGAGAGATTGAAGATGATATCAGAAAATGGAAAGACATCCCTTGCTCCTGGGTAGGA